GAATCACATACATATAGAAAATGCCGCAGAGTCTTCAGTCGAACCATTTGTTTTTAGTCTTTAAAATGCCCCCACGTGCTCTAGTTTGTCCGTCAATAAAATTCTACTCATTTCTAATTAAATCATTCTGCAACATCCAAAAAAACCGACTGCAATAAATGCAATCCTTACAGCCGTTTCGGCTTTCAGATGTTCGTTTGCTCAGAAAATCTGCTATTTATTTGCTTGGAAACTATCGAGGCTGCATTGTTCTTGTCGATAATTCTCGCTAACGATTGGAAAATGAAACTTCCATGATTTATACAGCATTATTTGTTCCATAGATTACGAAATGGCGCAAGTTTCGTGAGAACCAATTGTCTGAAAGAAGCTTAGAAACATTTAATGACAATCGGCAATGGGATAGTGGGAGATTCATCATATTGAATTAATTAAATTTTTGATTAGGACTTTTTTGTTTTGAATTTTCAAGAATATGTTATTGTCGTTTTGCGGAATTTTCTGTTTTTGAAATTACCGCTATTTAATGTTTTCTAAGTCGAGTCAATTTAATCAACGTGTCTTCGACTGAAATTGTGAGGAAATTAAGCACATGTAGGAGGATAGAGTAGGCGCCTGAAATAATTTTTCTGAATGAAATACATAAGAAAGAAATAAATCGAGAAAGAAAGAAGAAAAAGAAAAATGAAATAAAATAATATCTTATTTTATCAATGACAAAGGTTTCTTAATATTTTTTGTTTCTAAAACGTTGCGGACGAGTCCTCAATCCTTTGTAGGTATGCAAGAACCAAAGGTTGAGCATCCATTTCCTTCAAACATATTTTTTCATGCATTTGTGGCGGAATCGTCATATCTAAAAATAACAACAGCCAAGAACTAGACATTGATATTGTCTCATGTTAATTTTTGTTGGATGTCACACAATATTTGTTTTAGAGTTCACGATGTATAATAAGAAGTAACCGAAAAATGGTATAATAAAAGTGAAACTCACCACTAAAATGTAAATCTCAAATCCAGCTCAACTATTGTGGGCAACATTTAACGGAGATCTGCAAAAAAATAAAAACCCTAACAAATGTTACAATGGTTTAAAAACAACAGATTATATAATGAGTCCCAGACGTACTGCCTACATTTATGGTGTCTGCATGTTTGGTCTAAGATTTATAACAAAAATTTGCATAATAGACCTTGTATTTCAATCCAATAACTCCTTTAGAAGAAGAATTCTGATAACTTCTTCTTCAGCTAAATTTGAAAACTGAACTATTACATACCACTACACCCCAAAAGTTTGACAAAATTCTGACTTGTTTTGCAGATTCTAACTCAGAGTTCTTAACGTTCCTTCGCTGATTAGAGTAATTTTTTCCTGTCTATTACAATAATTTTTTACATTTTTACATTTTCTCTGCATTTAACACGTTCTGTATATCACTTTCGCGTTGAGCGTTTGCCTATCCAACACATGAATGCTAAAACGTTTTGGTGGTATATTTGAAAGTCTGGTAAAACAGCCAGTTGTCTTCATCGGATGAAACATCGATCCAATTTGAACAGCCGCCAGGCAAATCACAGGCCATGTTTTTTCCACCCCCGGATTCCAGATGCAAACCTAAACTACAGCCCGATAAAACAGCAACACAATTTTTTATCCTGTCATTCGTAATTGCTCCGTACACAATCTAACGAGGTACGCGTGGAAGTTGAAATATGGTGGCCCATCCTGGATCCTGGATCGATGTCTTTTGACCGCGGCATAAATCTATCACGCTCGCGATATGATTTATTTAGGCTGGAAAAGATATAAGGGTCATAATCCAATCAAGTAATCTATTATGGCCCCGTAAACATACATAAAACATCGTGTCAGGTGTCCAATAGGAATTGTGATTGACGTCTGGATGAAAATCCCATTCTAACAACGAGGGGTGGATAGATCCAGGATATTTTGCAATTTTGCATGTGTAACAACGGACCGTTTGGGGTGTCTTAATGTTGACCGCACTTTTTCCGCAGGCAATTTATGAAATAATCACGAATTGTTGAAGGAATGTGTCTTTCCAAGATTCTGGGGGCTATTTCCATCAATCAATCTAAATCAACCCGAAGGGACGACTTGAAAGTGAATGGAAAGTAATCAATTTATTTTCCCTTTGTGAGATTTTCAATGAATTTTTTGATCTCGGTTTCCAAGCACCAAAGTTTATTTTGCAAAAAGGCACATGGTCTACCAACATATGCAACAGCATTCCTTGAGAAGCTTTTAAAAAAGTTTCAGCAGCGCTTCAGGCAGCTTCAAACCGTTTCGATTCGACGACTTTTTTATATTTTCCCAACTTGCTACACAGGCTGCTCTCAAAGCCTCAGCAGTTGCCAGAATCACTGATTCCTTCTTTGATCAAATTCAGCAACGAGCTCAACTGTGTCTGATTATTTTCGTTCCACATCATTGCTGTTTTTTTTCTTATCGAGAAACAAAAACCCTTTATAGAAAATAACCAAAGCGAAAAAAGTATAAGCCTGACGAAATTTCGCCGGCAATAGTCTGGAAATCTTCCGACGAGCTTTTAAGGTAATGGAAAATTTTTATAAGAGGATCTAAACAGAATTTATTCCGGCATTTACCCTATTTCACCCTATTACGTCGGGCATAATGCAAAGTTATAAGAAGGTGGTGGATTAAAGTGGCGACTTTTGCTACTAGGAACTGTAAGTATGGACTCGATAATATTTTGTTTGCCACGGTGAAAGCGGGCCTTTTCCGGATTGGATGAGAGGTCATTGGATATGGCCATGATTTACTCGGAGGAAAAATGTGATGAAAGCTTACAGCGATTGAAAAATTGTTTGACGCTATGGAAAATAATAAGCTGCAGAACCCTAAAGAGCACATGGTTTTTGCTTTTAACCTGCCGAAGTTTTGTATGTTGGAAATAACAAGCGCCAAATTTCGATTTCAAACCAACAAAAAAATGTTGGCAACTTGCTTCCAGAATTTAAAAGAACTCTAGATTGTAAACCAAAAAATCAGCAGCAAAGTGCTAGCTCTACTGCACTTTGCTTCCGCTTTTGCTGCAAAGAAAGACTATTATATGTACGACTTTGATCAAGTTTAATACAGTTTCTATAACACGAATTCCTATCATGTGTATGTGCATGTCGTCAAAATGCGACGGGAGAAAATATTTTATTTGTGCCGTTCGTCGTCAGTCCCCAGATAGGTTCCCTCTTGCAACATCGACTCGGCTAGAAATTTGAAAAATGCATGCAAAATGAAAATGCTGAATATAATACTGCCAAATTCAATTTCGTCTGAACGAGGAAGGAACGCTTTTAAAAAGAACTTATTTTGCTAAAACAGGAAACTCGGCTATGTGTGTGTGCGCATCAAGCTTTAAAGCCAGTTTTCGAATGAAAATCAATTCGGTGTTTGGAAAACATACCCCGATATTTGCTAGTCTCGGTCGAAACAAAGCATTTGAAATGCAATAAACGCCAGATTTTGCAAGAATTTTCCTCTCATTCTGCGGCAGCAGTTTAGCGAACTGCCAGTTTAAAACTGGACAGCATCGAATGCTACTTAGGCAATTGATAAAAACGGTTTCAATACTAACTTATTCCAATCTGCTCGATCGGAATATTAGAAATCCGATATTTGCTCGATTGGAAGCAGATTGTTTCATGATTCCATTGGTTAAAAATTCTCATGACTTCCTTCTTAACATAGCTATTGATATATAATTTGTCAACAAATCTGGGAACTTTTACATATGAAATCACGACATTAACTTTTATTCACTTTCAGGGTTTCTTTATTGTTCTTCATGAGTCACTGTACAGGTTTCTACTAAACTCGGACTTGTTTCTCTTAAAGATTTTCTTTAATGTTTGTTCTTCATCTTTAACGTGCCTTATTAAAAAAATATTATGTAGATCCACCGTTCACATTATTTTCTCCGTTATTGAGGAGCAAAGCAAAACCGAGATCAATATTTGCTTGGTATTAATCTTGCTCTTCCACACAGTCTTGGACTGACAGCAAGAATTTTTCAAGTCTTGCTTTAAATAAGGCGTGAAAGGGAATCAAAATTAATTAGAATATTTCGATATATATTCGAAAATTAAAAGTGTAATAAAATATAATAGAAATAAAATGAATCCACATTAACTTTGTTTACTCAGGAAATATTCATAAAAATTAAACTCGTGCATCAAAATACTCAGATAATTTTGCATTCGAGCTTGTTGTCTTTTAAAAACTGCATTCGTTTATTTTCACATTG